TCCTCTACTGCCACTTCCTCCACAGCCTGTCATCACACGGTGGGGTACATGGTTGGATGCTGTGGCATATTATTGTGAAAATTACACAGCCATTGAGAAAATGTTTAATGGCTTTGACAGCAGTGAGTCAACATCAATTAAAGTTGTCAAGGACTTATTCTCTACCACTCTAGCACAAAATCTGGCATATATAAAGTCAAACTTCTGTTCAAAATCAGGTGCAATAACTCGCATGGAATTTGTAGGGACTGAAATCCGTGACGCGTTGGACACTGTAAAGGGCATTGACAATGAACTAAACCGAACTCGTGGTGAAGTAAGTGACAGAATTAAAACCAAAATAGAAAGTGTTCTTCATCGGAATGCTGGTTAGTTAACATTATGCAAGATTGCAAATATACTTTCCGGTAAACTAGCAACATTCGAAGATGATACAGAACTGTCACCAAACGACTTGACATTCTTCAAATATGCTCCTGTCACATCATGTGATGTGGAACGAAGTTTTTCCAAATACAAAACTATCCTTAGTTATAATCTGCGATCTTTCAAGTTTGAAAATTTGAAAATGCATGTAGTTAATTTGCAATTGTAACAGTGAAAATTGAGACGTGAATAACTCAGTGAAAATTGAGACGTGAATAGCTTGTGTTCTTTTAAATGGTGTTTTTAGATAACAGAGTTAAGATAGTGTTCACACCATGTGCACAAGTGTTTGTCTAAAATATGAACGCAAATATCAGTATTAAAAAGAAGACAATGAATGGTTTAATCCAGTACGAAATGTCGAAATTCCATCAGTTTTCTTTCCTTCAGAGACATAATAGGGCTAATTTGGTAAGTAGGACCTACTATCATATATTCATCATCTTTATTCTTAAACTCTAGTAAAAGTTGTAATTAAAATTGTGAAATTTTATGTCCCATTTAATATTTAAGGTCATATTTTACACTTTTTAGGTCATATTTGACATAATTTGGGGTCATAAGTGCATGCATATATTTATAGTTTTTAGGTCATAAAAATCCGGGCCCTAGTAATCATCCAGGATCCATGTTTCTCTTGGCTATGGCACGGCCAGCAGAATAATACTAAAATGTATCTTAAGGAAAGAGGTTAGGATGTTATGGACTGGATTAATTTGGTGCAGAATAAGGACTAGTGGCGGAATATTGAGAGGACAGTAATGAAAATACACGTTTCATATAAGGCGTATAAATTTGTTAAAAGAGTTTTAAAGTGCAGTTTTTACTATTGAAGGAATTCTGTCTTCTGGAATGCGATGTTGCATAGTGTGGAAGGAGTTTACCGGTGTTTGCAAGAAATATGATGACTGCAACTTTACGTTATACGTTCCGCCGAAACGTCTGTAAACTATCAAACCCATGGTGTCACATACTAGAAGCCAGTATTCTTTATAAACACTTTCGTGTTAATCTCGGATCACACATCTGCTTTAAAATGTTTACTTGCAAAAGAAATTAGCATTTCGTTGGCTACTAGACAACGCCAAAACAACTTTTCTTCTCCAATAAGAACGAAGATATTTAGGAAACAGGACGGGACAAGGTCCCAAGCAGATTCAAGGTCGCACGGTTTAGGACCGAACCAATCCCTGGGCTGCTACTTGAATTCGCAACTAAACGTTCTGATCAGTTATCACGCAGTAATATTTCCTTGCTCCACAACACTTCACAGTGGAGTGCGAGAAGGCAACGCCTTGCGAAAGGTAGGTGTTGAGTGCACATTCGACTTAAATTTTTGATTCTTGTAAATTTCACAACATAATCTTTAAAGAAGGCGTGGGGTATATTCTTACGATATCTGCGCTAACTGCATGTAACTAGCAGCTTAAAAAAGCAGTGGAGTGCTCGAATAATTTTCGTCACGTATCCAGATCCAATTCTTCCCAAGTACAGTATCAGCTATTCTGATTGTGGAATTTCGTGATTTTCCTTACCTCTAGTATGGTGTCCATACCAAAAATATTCTAACACATCTTTTCACATTTCTTCTGAGTCATTCACCAGAATCATCCCAGTGTATGTCAGTCAACATGACGTAGACCCAGAAGTTGACTCAGATTCCTCAAATAAATATTTACTTACTTATGGGGCTGAGCCCTTCTTGAGGAGCCGCCAATTCTAAAGCTACTCAAGAATTTCCGAGCATTTTATGGAAGCCGAAGGTTCATTATCGTGTTCACAAAAACCCTCCATTGGCCCTTATCCTCAGCCATATCAATCCAATCCATATCATCCCATCCTATTTCTCTAAGATCCATTTCAATATTGTACACGCACTTACTTCTTGGCCTTCCCAGTGGTCTCCTTCCTTCTGACTTTCCCACCAATATCCTTTAAACAGTCCTCTTCCCTCCATTCGTGCTACATGTCCTGCCCACGTCATTCTCCTTGACTTGATCATTCTGATTATACTTGGCGAAGAGTACAAGTTATAAAGCTTCTCATTATGCAGTTTTCTAAATACGTACATAATAATTCAATAGTTATCAGTTACCATAGGAAGCTTCGACCGTCTGCAGCCTGGGACGAATCATTTTCCAATGTTCTGTAGGCATTAGTAAGGACTAGGTGTTCTAGTGACAGACTTACTCTGCGTAAGAATCACAGCGGTGATCATTCCCCATTAAATTAATTCGATTTTCCTAATGTACTGAACTCCTTCGGGCGCGACTTTCGTGTTAAAAGTCAGAAATTGCAAATGGATTGAATGCCAACTAACCGAAACATGATATACACACTGATCATGCTTGGAAATACGTCCAGTTCTTCCCATGCCTCTTCGAAGGCAAATAAAGCAATTTAAGCGGAAACGGGACACTGATACATAAGAAAAGTTAATAACTTACAAAATAATATATAGGCGGGTTTCTAACTGTTGTGACGAATCGGTATAACAATTTCATAGTTATTATGAATATTCCAATATTAGATTATACGTTCCATTGATAGCCAGTACTATTTGCAGTGTATCGAGCTATCGCTGGAAGTATTTACCTAGTTCGGTTCTTGTGTCCACATTGAAATGCATGTCGAATCCTTGCCAATGACAGGGGTAGGATGTTATCGAATAAAACCTTGCTATTCTGTAGTCTTTAATGACGTAACACATACGCGTGAGAATTAAGCCAATGGAGCGAAGTCTTTCAGTACAAACTTTTAATGTCTCTGCCGGTAAAGAAACTCCCTGCGTTTCATGTCATCCATAGGTTCATAACTGCTTCCAAATAAGCCTGCCTCTTGACGTCTTCCTGAACCAGCTTTAATTCAGAAGAGGTTTATCTTCGGGGACATAATGCCCTGTAGTCTGCTGAATGTCAACCGAAGTTTCGGGGGAACATATCGTCTCTATTTTCTTGGTCGAAGAATAAGTCAATCATGTAATAGCGTGAAGGTGGTGGCATTTCCTTCGAAACCGGTTGATATCCAACGGATAGCACAGCGTTATATCGCAGCAGATAAAAATGTTCATAACCACTGCTGTGAAACCCTCAAATCCAACACGAGATCTAATCCAGCCCACACCCTCTCTACGAATCTCTTCATGTGTTTTAATACCATCGTGTTTACTGCCAGATCCCCATTTTCAGACTGTCCGACCAAAATTAGGTATACACTTTTAGTTTGGTCATCTTGTCCATCTTGTGAACCTCCTCATTAATAGGTTGTTGTGAAAAACCTCCACTTACTATCGAAGCACAAATATTTTCTGAGAACTTTCTTCTCAGACACCGTCGATCTGTGTTCTTCTCTTAGGGCTAGAGTCCAAGAGTCACACCCATTCAAATAATAGATATAATTACAGTTTCTCTACTTTAATAATTAGGATTGTAGGAAGAAGGAAATATCAGTATTGAAACCTCATTTATATATGTATATATGTAAGTATGTACGTATGTATGTATGTATAGATGGATAGATGGATGTAAATATGCACGCATGCTTGCATATATGTATGTATGTGTGTACGTACATACGTGTGCATGAATCTACGTACGTATATTTATTTGTATTCCCATATGTAAGCATATATAAGTATTTTCACGTGTTGAGTAGGTCACGCGACAAATAACTTCACGCCGTTCTGGATCTTAGTGAATTTACTGCACATTCGCTCTTACACTTACACAATTCACAATTTCCCAATTACTGCCATCGGCGGTATCACAATTACTTCTCCTGCTTCCATTCACTCCAGCGAAAGCCAGACTTCAACTGACTGGTTACTCTTTCATATTATTTAAATTAAGGAGAAATAGTAAACAAAGTTGTATTAAGTAAGATTTTAGGCTTTCACGGCGGTGACTATGAAGAAAGCAGTCTTCTGGGATTTGGCACCGTGTATAAACACCACATATACACGGTGCCAAATCCCAGAAGACTGCTTTCTTCATAGTCACCGCCGTGAAAGCCTAAAATCTTACTTAATACAACTTTGTTTNTGAAATACAATGTTAAATTATTGTGTTTCTTTTATCAACCTATATAGATGTTACTATATAGTACTACATTTCAAGCGCTGGGATTGTGGGTTGCAATCCCACACAAGGCATGGATGTCTGTGCCTTTATTCTGTGTTTAAGTTGTTCTTTGTGTAGGTAGTGGCCTTCCGACGGGCTGATCCCCCGTTCAAGGAGTTTTACCGACTGTGTATAGGATTAAGAAACTGAAAGAGTCACCGAGGTCCAACAAGGGCTGTAGAGTCACAGACAGATAAGAAGGAAGAACTGAGAACAATAATTCGAGGTTCGGGGTATCTGAATTCTTATTACATTGCAGCTCAAAAACGTTCATAGTATGCCGCATATATTCGATTCTTTTATGCCTGAGAACTGAGAGCTGTGAACCGTGGGATACTTAACAACGCTATGTCGACTGAAATGTATTTGTTTTGGATTCATATCAGATTATGATTATGTATTACGGAACGAAACAAGACGGCAAGAAGGAACGTTCGTAGCCTAGCTGAAGATACTATTGTGAAATTCCACTAAAATATATGAAAGAAAACACAAAAACAGATTCGTGATACCTGGTGACGCGTCCAACACTCTGAACAGCAGTTTCGCTACAAATCAACCGCATCGACATCGAATCTATGAGTATCTCCTCGGTACCCGGTATAGGAGATCTGAGAGAAGAGGTTTGATACAGAATCCATCACATCCTAATTATTTTCGATACATAATCCACATTTCTTCAGTGTATGTTAAGGACTTCCTGTCATAATTCATAAATCCTACTTTGTTACTGCATAGCCTTTTGATGTTTTCAATAGAAATTCAGTTTCTGTACAGGTTATGTCCCTTGTATAATTCTAGTGAATAAGTATCTTTTCATTTCATTTTATTATATTTTGTAAATTTGAGACCGCCTCTGTGGTATATTGGTCAGAGTTCCTGGTTACAAATCCAGAGGTCCCGGGTTAGATTCCCGGAGCTACGAGATTTTCTGAGAATTAATGGGTCTGGAAGCGGGCTCACTCAACTTCGTGAAGATAATTGAGGAGCTATTTCATGGAAATAGCGGTCCCAGTCTAGAAAACCGGGCGTAACGGCCGTGGGGATTCGTTGCGCTGACCACGCGACACCCTCTATCCGCTAAAGTTGGCAGTAACTTCGCCGACAGGCAGCGGTTACTCGGTAGGTAGAGTTCGCTTGCGGACTACAGATCACGGAGTTTTAAATTTGAATGTATTATGTATCCTTCTGTTTGGCTAGATTAGTCCAGTCTGAAACGAATCAAATTACTGCTAATGCTACGAGTACTACCACTCTACTACTACTACTACTACTACTACTACTACTACTACTACTACTACTGTTGCTGTCACTTTTTGTTATTGGTGGAGGTGGTGAACATGTAGTTTTTTAATATATCTTCCAATCTCTTATTTGCAAAAAAAAAACTACCTAAATTACAGTCTTCATTTGTTCCAGTTACTTGAAAATGGCGTCCCTTGGTTTCGAATTCACGTGGATGATACCGATTGCAGTAATTTGCGTGTTGATTTACGTATATCTTACCTGGACACACAACTACTGGAGGAAGAAAGGAGTGCCCTTCTTAGAACCGATTTTATTCTTTGGATCTCTTAAAGACAACATTGTTGGCAAGAAGTCTCTAGGAGAATGTTACCAAGACTGTTACTGGTAAACAGATGAAAATTAATCTGGAAAATATCAACGTAGTAAAACAAATTTCTGGCAGTAAAAGCTCGAAATTTATAGGATAGTTATTACCATATGGTAAAGTAATTTAGGAAAGGCTTCACACAAATTCTCGTTTTTGTGTCTATTTCGCATACCTCTTAATTGTTCGAGATTACTGGCTATTTGGACTTCGTCCGCCGTCCGGTGTTCCAAGGAACAATAAAGTACAATCCGTTTCGGAAACTAAAACTGTTTCCGTTCTCAGTTGAGGTGCGTTACACAGAGTTAACCTCAGTCACTGGACCAGAGATTAAAGTTAGCTGTTTCTAGCGGTCCCAACAGAGTAGGTGTTTCCCATTCTCTCATCCAAGGATGGAAACAGATCCCGTTTCCGAAACGTCGTGTTCTTCAATGTCCCCTAGAATACCGGACGATGGACAAAGTAGTTCCGACTGTCATACACCAACGTCAGAGCCCTATAGATTCTACTCTCAATTTCTGTTTCAGGAAGCTGAATGGATACAAGTGCGGGGGTATCTTCAAATTCCGTCAACCTGTAGTTCTGCTCAGGGATCCAGAGCTGGTCAAAACAGTTATCGTGAAAGAGTTCTCAAGTTTTCAAGATAACGACTTCCACTCCAATGTTGATATAGATCCTCTATTTGGGAGGAATCCTTTTGTTTTGAGGGGAAACGTGTAAGTATGGGACCCTTATTAACGAATTCAACAAATGCCATGGAATAGTGTCCTTTGTTCAGAAGCTGATAACTGCCCAATCCAGAAACCTCCACAGTTTATGGATTCTGAAGTTTCATGAACTTGATCACAAAAGCCGAAGACCTGACCGTGTCCTAAGCTAATCGAGTCTATTGTACACCATGACAACCTATAGACCTGCCATTAAGATCAATACATAGCGGCCTCCGTAGTCTAGGGGTAACGTTCCCACCTCGTGACTCAAGGTACGCGGGTTCAAACCCGGCGGAGGTCGTGGAATTTTTAAGGGCGGAAAGATTCTCTCCTCCGGGAGGGACTTTAAGCCGTGGGTCCCGTGTCATAGCTTTACGGCACGTAAAAGAACCTCATGTCCCAAGGGGGCCTCTGAGCCAAATTCAGGACATTCCCCGCCCAACAGTAGTCTCTAACGCCTCTGGTAGATGGGGGAAGCATCGAGATACCACTGAGCCAGGAGAGGCCGAACTCGCTGGCTGAGTCGGGACTGATGGCACGCAACAGTACCGGTAGGATATAGAGACTGGTAGAATATCACAGGGGGACACACAATGGACCAACAGTTGGTCTAAGTGCATGGGGAAACCCACCCTCTCCAATAACAACAACAAGATCAATACATGTTTCCAGTAGTTTTCCCAAATGGTCTCTTTCCTTTTGCTTTTATCAGTATCGTCATCATCATCATCATCATCATCATCATCATCATCATCATCATCATCACTGTTATCATGATCATCGTCAAAAGAAGAACACAATGAACTCTTATAAAATGGCTGTGTCTTTCAAGAACAGGGCGACAGAAAATAATATATGTTCTAGATACTGAACTGAAGGACTCGTCGCTTTTCAGATGCTAATGTTCAGTCGCATTCGGAACATCAAGGTCTTCGATTCCAGTTTTTCTGCTTCTCGTGCCTTTCGCGAGTCGTGAAGGAGAGTTAATTATATATTGCCTTGGAGATATCAACTGGTTCCCCAAAATCCTTTTACAACTCTGTTAACCACGGTTGTTTTGCAATTTGACGTTACATGTCTTACGCAGTACAGAACACTAAATAAAATGCAAGATACTGATAAAGGTGAATATGTGAATATTTGTAGACTAATTCTGTAACTACACTTCTTCCATTTTGCAAAACACTTAAGATTAGCAGGAGATAAAAATCTCTATTTTCCTACTTGTTTTTCATGGGTGTAGAAATTCTGTTCTTACTCGCACTTCGCTGGAAGAACATAAATTTCAAAAGTCTGAAAGTGACGTTTGCAGGAACAGATATGGACCTAAGGCGTGTAACTGCCCTTCGTTGTGGCCCCTTCGTTTGGCACCACTTGTAACCTGCCTTTTGCTCGACTTTACGTCACTTATTATTTCTTTTTGTCACCTGTATCCCTTCCTTTCCCTGTGCTGCTACTCACCTGCCCCTCGTGTCTGGACGCCTCCACTGGAGTTACTGCCCTCCTCCCTCTTCTCGTGGATGGCGAGAGTTCTTTGCCTGTATCCCTTCCTTTCCCTGTGCTGCTGCTCACCTGCCCCTCGTGTCTGGACGCCTCCACTGGAGTTACTGCCCTCCTCCCTCTCCTCGTGGATGGCGAGAGTTCTTTGCCTGTATCCCTTCCTTCCGGTGCTGCGGCTCACCTGCACCTCGTGTCTGGACGCCTCCACTGGAGTTACTGCCCTCCTTCCTCTTCTCGTGGATGGCGAGAGTTCTTTGCCTGTATCCCTTCCTTCCGGTGCTGCTGCTCACCTGCACCTCGTGTCTGGACGCCTCCACTGGAGTTACTGCCCTCCTTCCTCTTCTCGTGGATGGCGAGAGTTCTTTGCCTGTATCCCTTCCTTCCGGTGCTGCTGCTCACCTGCACCTCGTGTCTGGACGCCTCCACTGGAGTTACTGCCCTCCTTCCTCTTCTCGTGGATGGCGAGAGTTCTTTGCCTGTATCCCTTCCTTCCGGTGCTGCTGCTCACCTGCACCTCGTGTCTGGACGCCTCCACTGGAGTTACTGCCCTCCTTCCTCTTCTCGTGGATGGCGAGAGTTCTTTGCCTGTATCCCTTCCTTCCGGTGCTGCTGCTCACCTGCACCTCGTGTCTGGACGCCTCCACTGGAGTTACTGCCCTCCTTCCTCTTCTCGTGGATGGCGAGAGTTCTTTGCCTGTATCCCTTCCTTCCGGTGCTGCTGCTCACCTGCACCTCGTGTCTGGACGCCTCCACTGGAGTTACTGCCCTCCTTCCTCTTCTCGTGGATGGCGAGAGTTCTTTGCCTGTATCCCTTCCTTCCGGTGCTGCTGCTCACCTGCACCTCGTGTCTGGACCCCTCCACTGGAATTACTGCCCTCCTTCCTCTTCTCGTGGATGGCGAGAGTTCTTTGCCTGTATCCCTTCCTTCCGGTGCTGCTGCTCACCTGCACCTCGTGTCTGGACGCCTCCACTGGAGTTACTGCCCTCTTCCCTCTTCTCGTGGATGGCGAGACGTTAGGTGGGAAGGGAGGAGAATTGTGGTTGTTGGTGCTGGCAGGCGGGAGTTCGTTTCCTGTACTACCATTAGGTGTCTCGCAAGTAGGAACAGGCGGGAGTAGCTGGGTTCTGTTCTGTAATGGGCAGAGATGAGTTCTTATCTCGGGGGTCTTACGAGCCTGGGTCGGGCAGGGCAGGAAGATTCTTACGCTACAATCACATACACCACTTCAGACTTTTGCACTTAGTAATTATTTAATTAGCTTCAGCTTCCTGAACACAAAGGAAACTCTAATAGTTACACTTATTTGGGTTTAACTAGTAATATTTTTAGCGAAGTAACGTACTTATGTTTTTGTGTCTGACTTGGCCGAAAGTTGAATGAAGACTGTCTCTCCGAACCCTGAGGTCCACGAATCCCAGATTCCAAAAAAATCCACTCCTCTAACAAGTGCCATTGGTTTAGTTTGAAAACTAGGAGTTTCCCTAAATTTGTGAATTTCCAATCAGGTTGCTTTGCTATGTGACTCTGGCAGTTGCTGACCTGACGCTAAGGTTGACAGCGACTTGATTCATTACGATCACGGGATGAGGCTCCGGCCCTCCCACTTCTAAGTTATAGCTGTTCCAAGCTGTCAGCTCTCAAATTCTCAAAGACTTTCCGACTTTCCTGAAACTGCCAGAATTCCAGGAAATGTACCAGATGTTACTTCTTGTCCACATAGGAAAACTTGAACTGTGTCACTTCTGCGTGTAAAAAGTTGGCTATCTGCCGGATCTCTGTATGTATTTCTCGTGATCTTAACTTAATAGAAACATAATTAATATAAAAGAGTCCACCAAATTATGATGAACGGTTACAGGCGATAAAGTAAATAATCAAATACGAGTAGATATTCTGCCTGCATAATAAGGAACTTTTTTAATTTATACAAGTCACCTAGTGGACGAGACGACAGAATTTCGATGGGCATGGCGTGTGACTAGGATAGGAAGATGAGAAACGTGTATATAATTTAGTGCGGGCATCTGTTCGGAAACATACAATTGGAACACCTGGAAAAATATGGAAGGAAAATGTTCAGATGAATACTTTAACAATGCATGCTGTAAGACTACGAGGTGGGGGGAACCACTATGCGAAACAAGAATTGGAATACCACAACAGAAATAAGAGGACATTCACACACTCTACATCTTAGCTATGTCTAGGTGCAACGTATTTCGCTGTTCCTTCAGTAGATAATATTTCACTAGGTGTTTCGGCTAAAATGCCTATCTTCAGGTGTTCAGGTTCTAGTACTTAGGACTCTGCATTACATTGAGTAGCAGAGCCCTGAATTCTTACAATCTACACACCTGAAGATGGCCATTTTGGCCGAAACATGTAGTAAGGTCTAGTGAAGGCATAGGGAACTGCGTTGCACTTAGACTGTGCAGACACCTCTAAGTCAGGTCTACAGAGTGCATCAAGATTTAGTGGGGGGTGGAGTCCAACTGGGTCCACTCGGCACGGCGGCCACTGATTGGCCTATTGTAGCCTGCCCTGGGTGATTCTGTTGATGGAGAATTTGGTGAAATGAAGATTGGCAGGGGAAACCGAAGTACTTGGAGAAACCCGCCCCAGCGCCATTTTGTCCGCCACAATTCTACATGACCAGACCCGGGATCGAACCCTGGCCGCCGCGGTGGGAAGCCAGAGACTAACCGCTTGAGCTATGGCGTGGCCTGAGTGCATTAGAATGCTGAAATGTGACAATATATGTTAGTAGTATAGGCTATGAGACAGAGAGGCGGTTGGAACCAGTTCAGAATCACGTTGAAGGCAGGATTGTGGTATTGTCAGTCTTGAATCTTCATGTTCTTGTATCACAGGTCTGGTTATATCTAATTGCCAGTATATCATGCAATCTGAACGCGTTTGCAAGCTCCAGCAAATGTGTTACAGGTGGAGAGAGACGAGATCAAAACTAACACCCGGCTTTACGTCAGGAAAGTTGAAGTTGATGTACCCTCTTATCCACGACGTCTGCAAGGACCTACTCGAGCATCTGAGGCAAGACAACGGTGAAGGTAAGCAAAACGAATAAGTTACCTTACTACACAAAATCCGAAAGAGTAATGAAGAGTTCCTTCAACGGAGCAGCCATGGACTACCGACATAGGGTGGTCCTCCAGCTTGGGGGTTGGGCGTGAGGGAAAATTCGCTTAGTGAGGAGTGGAGTCCGGTTGGGTCCACTCGGCACGGTGGCCACTGATTGGTCTAATGTACCTGCCCCGGGTTATTGTGATGATGGAGAATTTGGTGGAATGAAGATTGGCATGGGAAACCGAAGTACTCGGAGAAAACCCATCAAAGCGCCACTTTGTCCACAAATCCCACTTGACCAGACCAGGGATGGAACCCGGGCAGCCGCAGTGAGAAGCTAGCGACTAACCGCTTTAGCTATGGGGCGTCCTTGGGCGTGTGGGTAACGGTGTAAATCGCCAGGTAGTGATCAAATTCCGGCAGAACTTATTCAAGCAGGAGGCGAAATATTGCGTTCTAGGATCCACAGTCTAATTACTTCTATTTGGCATAAGGAAATAGTGCCTGATCAGTGGTGAAGGGTGAAACTGGTGGTAGTGATTATCGGGGGATATCACTGCTATCAACTTCATACAAAATTTTATCCAATATTTTTCTCTCAAGGTTAAGTCCATATATAGATAAAATTATTGTGGATCATCAGTGGGTTTCGACGTAACAGATCAACTACAGATCAGATCTTTTGCATTTGTCAGATATTGGAGAAAGAATGGGAGTACGATGAGACAGTACATCAGCTATTGGTAGACTTCAAGAAAGACTATGATTCAATTAGGAGGGAAGTATTGAACAATGTTCTTATAGAGCGTGAGATACCGAAGAAACTATTAGGTTGATTAAACTGTATTTAAACGAAACGTATAGTAAAGTACGTGTAGGTAAACAGTTGTCTGATAAATTTCCTATCCAGAATAGTCTAACACAAGGAGATGCTTAATCACCACTACCTTCCAACACTGCTTTATAATATGACATTAGGAAGGTCCAGGAAAATCAGGTAGGCCTGAAATTAAACGGGACACATCAGCTGTTGGTCTACGCCGATGATGTGAATCTACTGGATGATAATGTACAATAGATAAGTGTACAATATAGAAAAACAAATAAACTTTAGTTGACGCAAGTAAGGAGGTTGGTCTAGAAGTAAACGCAGAGGAAACTAAGTATATGCTGCTGTCTCGTCAGAAGAATGCAGGACAAAATCATGACATAAAGATGGGTAACAGATGTTTTGAAAATGTGACACAATGTTTAGGAACGAGGGTAACAAATCGAAATTCGATGCAGGAGAAAATCAAAGGGTAGCTGAATTCGGGTTATGTTTGCTACCATTCATCCCAGAAACTTCTGTCTTCCCTTCTGCTACCCAAAAACGTAAAAATTAGACTATACAAAACTATATTTTTGCCTGTGGTCCTGTTTGCGTGTGAAATTTGGTCTCTGACTTTAAGGGAGGAATACAGACTGAGTGTGTTTGAGAAGAGGTTGCTGAGAATGTTTTGACTGAAGAGAGATGAAATGACATGATATGAGGTTGGACAAAGTTGCATAATGAGGAGCTTCATAACTTGTACTCTTCTGCAAGTATAAATAGAAATACCAACTCAAGGGAGGTGAGATGGGCAGGGCATGTAACACGAATAGGGGAAAAGGAATTCACGTACAATGTTGGTGAGAAAGTCAGAAGGAAGGAGACCATCAGGAAGACTAAGACGTAAGTGGGTAGATTATAATAAATGGATCTTAAGCGTATATAATGGGGTGGTGTGGACTAGATTGATCTTGTGAAGACGGTAATGAACCTTCAGGTTCCATAAAATGTTTGGAATTTCTTGAGTAACCGCACAACTGGCGGCTTCTCAAGAAGGGCTCAGCTGCATGAAGATGGTTAGTTCATCAGCGGTCGTTGTTCGATGAATATGATCCTTCTAGTTTAAAAAATTTGGGGTCCTTAAGATGAGGCCCTAATTATATAACGGTAATTTTGTTGAAAAATATTCTAAGGAATTTAATTAAAATTCATAAAATATACCCAGAAACACGAATTAAGAAGTACATATATGCTATTGCAATTTTCCCCTTTCTAATTTATTCTGAGGCCAATTTCCGGTTCCATACATAAGCACAGAGTTTGCTGTCACCTTATAAACTTTAATCTGTGTACCCTTTCTAGTTTTATTTTTAATGTTCTCTCTGTCCTTCTACACGTAGGTTGAAATCTACACAAGTTCTGCTCAAGCTCTTTGTGCAACTGTATGTTGCAGCCCAGGTAATTTCCGAACACATAAACGGTCTTGGAACGAACGCAAATTAAGTCATGTTTCCCGACGGGGTTCGAAACCAAGATCGACGGTGCGGATGAGGGCCAACGATAATTTACTGGTGTGGGCTGGAGCAGATACATGCTTTAATCGATAGGTCATTAAATATGTGTGATGTAATAAATAAGGGATTTCAATACAGTTATTTTAAAGGATCTCATGAGAAAAATGGATGTTGTAGACAGGATCTTAATATATTTTATTAATAAGGAAAGAACAAATACGTCATAGCATACTGAGATCTATATTCTTCATGCGTATGCTATCTTTTCTTTTATACGAACATTTGATTGGACATTAGGTTCGTGCCTATCTCTTTTACCTTCTCACCATAATTCATTTCATTTATCACGCGATTTTCAACTCCCATATTTTTGCATAGTTCTGGTTACATCGCACAGTTAAGAGTGTGACACATCTATGTTACTGCAACATGGATTTGCATGTTCTATGCTGACACTTTGTTAGCTGATACGAATTATCTTGCTAAACAAAGTTCAATTAGAAAAGGTTTCAGAGGAGACATGCGGATCATGGTCAAATGAATACTATGGCATATTTATTCAAATGAAGAATTGTGGAGTCCGAAAAACAGCCGTTGCTAGGTAATGCCCGCACGCAACAATAGAGGAATTATCAGGATACGAGATGTGACGCGTAAAGCCGTTGCTCTGGAGTGACTGGCTAAGCACGCTTCCGTAAAGACGAATTAACGCAACGATAGAAGAGCAGTGTTTTCTTTGCGGTCCATATCGAGGGGTTATAAAAAGACAAAGCTTATCGTCTGAGTCAGTTAAGTTTCGATAAGCCAGCCTGCCAGGATATGAGCCTGAGAACGGAGGAGGAGTTGTCAGGAGACTTGAGGGAGGCTCTAGAGATAACAGTCGAAAATCGTTGAGAAGTGATGGCGAAGAAGAAGGAATTTGGCTGTGCAATGAAGACTTCATATATGTTGCAGTTACAGTGGGTCTCGTATAATTACTGCGTTGAAATCCGTTGCNGTCGAGGGGTTATAGTGAAAACTGGAGACACTAGCGAATGTAAACTGTAAAGTGTATAGATCAGCGATAGCACTGTAATTATCTGCAGTTCTGAGTGCCATGTGTAAATGGTCAACAAACCTCATCCGAAACCCGTCTAATAGTCACAGCCCTAACACGTGACAAAATTCTGTACCTATTAAAATTGTTCTGGACTGAAGAGAGTTTTTAAGAAGATACTAGAGTGTGTTTGAGCGAAAGTAATAACTCAATGACTGGTAGTTAATTCCAAAGTACTTCCAATTTCCTACTTACTAATTATCTGGAATAATTCTAAAGAACTGGAATTGTTTTAATTCCGTGGCCATGCTTCCTAAAATGTCTTGTCTCTAATTTCTTAGTGGAGCAGTAAGGTAGGCTCGAGGTGTTACTGTCCTTGAGCGGAACGTCGTTCTACAGAGTCACGTAACTAGAACGTGCACTGGTAGTCAATTGTTTTGGCTGTCACTAATTAATACCCGGAGAATTAGCAGCAATATGTTTAGATGGCGTATCAAGATTTCGGTCACGAAAATGTGCAGACTGCCTACGCAGTATGTATCAATTAGAAACATACTTTCTCTGTTGTATCTCACAGTTATTTAGTCATGTCTGTACGTGGTACGTATACTTCTTTAGAAGATGGTGGTCTCTCAGTTGATCGAGAAATTATTCATCGTTTATGCAACATATAAATTCATTACTATTTTCACAAGACCATACTCTGAGTTAGCTATATTCAGTTCACAAATTCACATTCAATTTATTTAAATCCAGTAGTAATATTATGCGTCCATTTATGTCTAGGTCACCAAAGTGTTCTCTTCCTTTCATATTCTTTAACTGAACTTTTACGTATATTTTCCATTTCTCACATGTTCCACCAATTCAGTTCTCTTTACTTGGCCGCCTTAAAGAAAAGTGATAATCAGAGCAAATCATAAAGTTCTTCTTTATGCCTTTTGTCCATCTTCCTTTTACATCCTCTCCCGTATTGTGAGCGACAAGACTTCAAGTCGATAATAGAAATTAACAGGAAACAGACAAGGTTTATTATATAAGATTTGAGGCTTTCACGGCGGTGACTATGAAGAAAGCAGTCTTCTGGGATTTGGCACCGTGTATATGTGGTGTTAACCGACGTTTCGGAGGAACGTATCGCCTCCATCTTCAGGGTAGAAGAAAAATATAAGAAATCTGCAAGCGAAGAGACCGTGAGAACCGGNCACTTCTAATTAAGTTATGGGAGGACAAGAGATTCTGCAGAGTGGCAGAAATCATTACCGAAATTTTATAATCTCTCTAGCAGCCAGCGTTATGAATCCAGTAATATATCATGGCAGATTTAAGATGAGCTGCACAATGAAAATCTTTTTCTTTGATACAGGAGGGCTGCGGCAAACCAAGGCAATAACTACAAAGTTTGCAGCGGACTCAGTGGCCATTTGTGCATATGGGCTTCGGCAGAACTCGTTCCTAAATCCTGACACCGAATTTCGGAAATACGGAAGGAAGTTCTTGGAACCCACTTTATGGAGGGGGATCGAGCAGACTTCTGTAATTCTTACTCCAAAGATTGCTGATTTTTTAAGATTGAAGTAAGTTTGTTACCACTACAGAAGCGGGTCAGTGTGCTTCAGCATATCTGCACACCCGCTCTATTCCAGAGCCGGTATACTGATGTGACAGCAACTTCTATGAAAGTGAATCTTGAGCTATGAAGTCCTTTAAAGACACATCTATTCCGGAACAATGTTATCACAATGCACTGCCGTTGCTAAGCCTTCGTTAATGGCGAACATTCTGAACAACTTAAATCAGAAGACTTCGATGACATTTCTGTTCTGCAATTTTCTTACTGTTCTTGTAGATTTCTGTTATTAACGTGCCACGAATGGAAGATGAATGTTAAGAAATTGTGGTAACATTATTCTGGGACAGTCTGTATGTTGCGCTTTTGCAAAGTAAGTTAAAGACAAAGATGTCTCCGTGGTTCTTAAGCATCACGACATGAAGGTGTAAGGAGGAGTTGAATTTTATTGTAGGAACCACCAACAGTGAATCAAGGGCTAGCCAATCACAGGCTAGGAACCATCCGCTGTTAAGCTGGCTAAAAGCCGTTGCTACGTAACTCCTACAGCAATACGTGGCAACAGTAGGCGTCCTTCATTAGCCAACAGACGTGTTTTCTATAGGTCCTCCTCAAGGTTATATAAAAAGACATAACGATAGAAATAAGCGTGTTAAGTTTAAACTTGGCGGCGGTCAAACATACGACTGTTCAATCAACTACACGGCTGTTGTAGCAGGAGCTATTAATGATAGGGCATGATCTGCTGTACTGAGCCTGGACTGATAGAGGCCTTGTACGTATATGTTGTACATACTGACAACAGACTTATTATTGCTGACTGTGACTCTGTCAAGGACAGACCCGTCCTCTCGTCAGAGAGGGACCCCCACATCAAGAAACCTGCAACTCTCTGATAGTAATAAAGATCTGATAGCAAGCCCCAGATGGGTGTTTTATTCCAAGACAGACTGGCCGACTGACCGTCGGTCGTAATATAACTCTGACTTAACTTGAAACAGGTGTTTGTTGCAAACGGTGTTGTTGTTGTTGTTGTTGTTGTTATATTGAACCAGCGACTTTAATTCTTCAAGTTCGTCTGTATATACTGTGCAAATATAATAAATATTTATATACTAACTTAACAAGTGGTAGCCTCTACCTACAACATCCCACGGTATCGTCAAAATGCTTTACCCTCGATACTAGACAGATGTAAGCTGTCAGATTCATATTTCTGCTCTTTTAATCCCAGAACCCACTAGACAGGAACACAGAATCGATATCTGATTCCTCGATCGTCCACAGCCTAGTCGTCATATTGACTGAATGAATAGACTCTTAAGTTGTTGTCTGTCATTAATCGATTTACACTCCGGTACGTATCTATCCCCGAAACGCTCGCGTGAACGTAATCAGTGCCTTGAATAACAAATTTAGCGAACGGGTCGTTAGTACCTAAATCTATATTTCGTGCTTTCATGAAAAGTTTTCAGTATTTGCAATTCTGTTCTTCATGTTGTGACACGTAGACCCCTTGCTAGGCAACAACTATGAAACATGACGATATATAACAGCTGTTGCGAGGTAACGGCTCTGCCAACATACAAGAAGGCAACAATTCCACGGCAACTAGCGGATAAAACAATAAATTGAAACGGCGTTTTCTACGCTGTTCCTGCCTACATATTATAAGCAGGACAAGACAGGAGCTAGGGTCTGTTAGTGAAGAGAAGTTACTGAGTTAGTCAGAGAACTGGCCGCGCCATAGCTCAAGCGGTTAGTCGCTGGCTTCCCACCGCGGCGGCCAGGGTTCGATCCCGGGTCTGGTCAAGTGGGATTTGTGGTGGACAAAGTGGCGCTGGGGCAGGTTTTCTCCAAGTACTTCGGTTTCCCCTGCCAATCTTCATTCCACCAATTGTTCCACAATCACCCTCACCTATCATCTGGGGCTGGTACAACAGGCCAGAAGTGGCCGCAGTACAAGGGACTTAGTTCCACCCCACTAGCAATAAAAAAAAAACAAAAATAGAGAACTGCAGCTCAGTCGTTTTGAGCTGTTGCTGTGATCAGCTTGTAGCTGAGGCCCGGGGACAGTTCGGTAGGTCAGAGGAAGAGGAACGTCCGCTGTTGAAAGCCGCTACCAAACAACGGCTAGTGGAGACTGTAACAGACTAAGATCTAGTGTTTCCTATATTGAAATGTAAAGCGTTTGAATGAGTGAAACGTTTATAATTGCTTATAGTTACAAATCTGTAAGTGTTCAATAAATCCAATTACCAATTAAAACCTCGTCTATAATCACATTCAATCACGTGACAATATTATTTCTTCACTTGATCATGTTATATGCTTCCCGAAAACTTCAACACCGATCCAAAATTAGAAGTAGGTGTTACGTAATTTGAAAATAAATGTCAAATTTCCAGATTAAGGTCCGAGAGTATACAGCAAATACAACGCCTAAAATGCTGATAGCAACAGCCGTGCATAAAATATTTGATAGCTCAGTGAAACCTCAGAATTTATATACGACTTCCATTGCGACAAAGTGGTCATGAAGGTCATCCCACCATTCGCCTGTACAGACTGAATCAACTGACAAAAGCCTTCCATGAGGATAATCGATAGCCCTGTAGAATTTTGAACCAAATCTAATTTTATGGCTACACCAACATGCACAGGAAAGAAATTATAAAAGTCGATTTTGATACATATAAATGTTTTCCTATCTTTATCAAGATTCACGCCGACAGAAGTGATTGACTTCTTCCGACGGATGACCAAGGAAACAGTGACATATCGCCTGGAAAATAACGTGAAACGAAACGACTTCTTGCAGTTACTGATTCAGCTCAAGGAAAAGGCTGAAAATCTTAATAATTCCAAGGACAAATCGATCCCATGGCATAAGAGTAAGTATAATCTTAAACCGACCCCATTTTCTGGCTCTTATTTGCCCCCTTTTCACTACACCACTTTATTGTTAACAGTCACTCAGCTGAGCAAGAAATTCAAGTATTTATAGGATCCAAAAGTCTATTTCCATATTCACAAAAGCCTTCCACTGGATCGCCAGTTTAATCCAGCCCATATCTTTATACATTAAGTTGTATAAACCGCATTTAAATATTATTCTCCCCTCTACTTTCATGTCTCGTTAGTCCCAATGAGGTTTCCCTATTAAAGTGTTTGATTTTAGAATCACCCCAGTCTATGTCACGTCTAACCTAGCAATTTAAAAGTTTACAGATAACTGATTCTTCCTACTCTTACTCATGGAGCTGAGCCTCTCTTGAGGACCAACCAATTCTGCAGCTACTCAAGAATTTACCAGCATTTTATGGAACCCAAAGGTTCAGTACCGTGTTCACAAGAACACTTCACTGCTCCCTATTCTAAGCCAGATAAATCCAATTCATACCATCCCGCTTTATCTCTCTAAGATCCATTTTAATATTGTCCAACCATCTACGCCTTGGTCTTCCCAGTGGTCTCTTTCCTTCTGGCTTTCCCACCAGTATCCTATATGCATTCCTCTTCTCCCCCATTCGTGCTACATGACCTGCCCACCTCATTCTCCTTGACTTCACCATTATAATTGTACTTGGAGAGGACTACAGGTTATGAAGCTCCTCATTATGCAGTTTTCTCCAACCTCCTGTCACTTCATCTCTCTTCGGTTCGAATATTCTCCTCAACGCATAGATAACTAATACAAAAGATAAAGACGGCTTGGTATACTGAACTTCCAGAGTTCACGGAGGAAGACATTGCTGCGCAGGCCCTGACTTTCTTCGCAGACGGATATGAAACTTCATCCACTGCATTGTCTATTCTCATGTATGATCTGGCCTGTAACCCTAAGGTGCAAGAGCGGCTGAGGGAGGAAGTGGACTCCGTGATGGGGCAACACAATGGACAGGTGGACCTGGACATCATCCATGAAATGGAATACCTCGAAATGGTGGTACAAGGTAACGTTAGTTTGCGTCACTTAATGACAGACAGCACATTAGAGGAGCACAGCGACCGCGTGGTTTAGGGTCCCTACTGCAATGGATCACTCACATATTTGAGTTTAGAGTTTGAACCCCACTCTACGCATTGGTGTATTTATGTTATGTCATTCTGTGTTGGTAGTAGCCTCGAGAGGTCAGATCACCGCTCACAGAAGCCGTGACAAATGTTAATATATTAGACGGTATAAAATAAGTTCTAAATCAGTTAAGAGCAAAGTTCCAAATCCCATAACGCTATCCGAAGTCAATATATTATAATACACTAATAGAAACACACGTAGAAATTGAAGGCGAACTTTGCCTTATCAGCTCCTCCGTCCTTACGTTTCTTCACCCCTTTCATACTTCTTTCTTATTTTCTCCTCCATTATAACAATATATTAAATTATATCTTAATCCTTTCCATTGCATAGTGTCTCCATTGCGCTGCTGCTTCTGTAATTACGTGGTAATGAGTGTTATCTGACTATATGTGTATATTACATGCGTTCGTAACATGCATAGTCACAAAGAGGTACACATCATAAACCATATCCTATTAGTTACTATAGGATTCTGACGATGGTGTATAACACACTGATATGTTGGGATTTTGGACTTTATCCATCGTCCTGGTTTTTAAGATAACAAATAAAAACACGACGTTTCGGAAACTGGATCTGTTTCCGTCCTCAGGTGAAGGAAAACACCTATTCAGTTGGGTCCNACTGTTTGCAGTGAAACCCACGACAATGAGCACTCGGAAGTACTTTACTTCCGAGAACCGAGACCAAACATTTGAACGATAATTACCGAACTTCTTTTGGCTTATTTTGGACTTCACTTCTCCAGTGATTGAGCCTAGCTCTTTCTAAGGGACCCAACTGAATAGGTGTTTTCCTTCACCTGAGGACGGAAACAGATCCAGTTTCCGAAACGTCGTGTTTTTATTTGTTATCTTAAAAACCAGGACGATGGATAAAGTCCAAAATCCCAACATATCAGTGTGTTATACACCATCGTCAGAATCCTTTCAAGTCTATCTGATAATTACCGAGCCAACTAAGTTTAGCGACATAATATTCAGTGCTATAATGCAATCTGACTAGAATATGGAAATTGCGTACATCTTTCGTTAATTTTGGAATATCTCCGTGAAATCCGGAACACATCTGCATCCACAACTGTTTTAATTTAATTACTTCTTCTTCTTCTTCTTCTGCTTTAATGAATTAGGCTTTCTGGCCTGTTACAATTGAGAATTAATTCTGAAATTATGAATATTGTAGACAGTTGGTAGGACTCCCTGGACGGGGGATCAAACTGACGCAAGACCTCTACCTACACATTACAGTACAAAAGCAGAATTGACATAGACAGATATCCATGCCTGAGTGGGGTTCGAACCCAAGATTAGTGCTTGAGCGGGAGAAGACAATTACTGCCTTAGACCGCGCGGCCACTGTGAGAGGGTTTAATTAATTTAATTCCTATATTTTCAGAATCCTTGAGAATGCACCCACCAGTACCACTGATGAACAGGTTATGCACAAAGCCGTTCGAACTGCCACTGCCGAATGGAGGAACATTCACTGTGGAAGTCGGCACACCAGTGGTGACACCTATGCTTGCTATTCAGAATGATCCGCAGTACTTCCCAGATCCGACCCATTTCGATCCCGAGCGGTTCACGGAAGAAAACAAGGAGAAAAGACCCCGATACACGCATTTCCCTTTCGGCGAGGGACCCAGGATATGCCTAGGTAATCACAGATATTAAGAAGCGAAGGATGCATAGGATTAATTGATACTGTGATAGTGTGAACAAGTATTTAATCTGAGTATTGCATTCACAGATACATTACAGGGCTGTAGTACTCATGATCCTTATCCCTGAGGTCTAGGATTCAGATCTCATCCAGGAGACCGGATAATTTGACCAATATGTTTTGCAGTTATTCTCTCCATCCACGTCACGTCATCATTACTACGTCACTAGAATCTCTTCTCAAAACACTTCCGTCAATCACATGTCAATGAGAAATTCAAACATTATCTACTATCTTGCATGTTACTGCTCTAAGGTAGCCTACAGAAAAAACTCCGTGGCTTTAGTCCGCAAACGAATCGGTTTGTATAGCCCCACGGCCGTTAATTTCGGTTTTCTAGACCGGAGCCGCTACTCTACCATTCAAGTAAGACCTCAATTATCCTCACGAGGCTGAGTGAACCCCGTTCCAGACCCACTATTTCTCAGAAAATGTGGTAGCGCCGGGAATCGAACCCGGGACCTCTGCTGGAACTCTGACCACTAAACTACAGAGGCGGTCAAGGTAGTCTTCAGGAAATATAATGTATCCTGCTTTTGTACTTTAAGAAACAACCAGCAAAAGGATCCTACCTTGATCCAGCCTAAACCTTCAAACAGTTTCTCAGGATAAATTTTAGTATTCATTTTCATTCCCGACTAGATGCCTCAAGTGGTATCTTCCAGCCTCACAATCTGACCATCATTTTGTATACATCTCTCCTCTCCTCCGCCACAAGTTCTGCACCTTTCAGTAAAGGAGCCCTCATAAATGCACTACATAATACTGTTTCAAGTTTGTCAGATATCGCTAAAAGTTCTGCAGCTCTATAGGAGTATTTACTTTTTTGTTGTTTCAGGCATGCGGTTTGGTCTGGCACAGAATAAGGCTTGCATCGTTCATGTTTTATCAGAATTTGAAATTCGCAAATGTGACAAAACACCAACATCTCTTACACCAATACCGACTGCATTTATTTTTTCACCAAAAGAAGAAATATGGGTGGAGTTCGTCAAAAGAACCGACAAATAGAGGGAGAAAAACAGAAAATAAAGATGTAAATCATTGTTGTCATACATGAATATCATCTTAAAATTATATCTCTCTGAGAACAAGGAGACCACGGTGTTAAATGAATTGTGTGTAAAACTAATCTGAAAGTATTATATTGTCACGTGTTAGATATTAAAGACGGGGTTTGCATTGGTGATGGGAATTTTTAGACTTTTACAACTCCTAACTACAGTTAACTGTATCAGTTTCATGGATTGACGCACTTTACAGATCACTGTATTGCACATAAATCTTTCTATGTTTTCACCAGTCGTTGCCGGTTAACGGCTCTCAATAATTTAGATTCCTAAGCTTACGCAATCGTGTCCTTACCGGTTAGAGACTATCTCGAACTCCTCATGGTCCCAACTTACTGCGTTAATCAAAGTCAAAGTCGCATTACGACGGAAGGTTACTCCGTCAGTCAGTCTTGATGTTAAGCCCCATCAGGGAGCCGTTTCAGAATCGCAGTTATTTTACGATTGGCGGTTTACAACCAATCAGTCCGTCTTGGCGCCAAGCCCCTTGAGGATGACATCCAGAGACTTTCTTCTTCCACTGAACTCTTACGGTCAAAATCCTCATGTAATTCTCTCTGAAGACAAGATGGGTTTCTCCCTCATTAACATGCTTCACCTAGTCATATGTACGTATATCAAATAGAGCATGTTACTTAAATACTTACTTTTCCACTATATACAAGTTCTCTGTCAGTCCAGGCTTTGCAGAGCAGATTATAAATATCATACATATCATAAGCTACAACGGCAACTCAGTCACAAGAACGGTCGTAAGCTTGAACCTCTTATACACGTATATTATACGTCTAGTTTCGCCATATCTTACACTGCGAAAATGTTCATTCTCATGACTTCGTATAACTTCTACTTGTTGCATGCACAATTTTGTTATATAATCGTATACATAAGGAAGGTTGAAAGCCGTACATAAATCGCGGAATGGTGTGCACCTTGGAAAGTTTCCAGTGCTGCGGAGAACTCTGGTTTGTAGGCGCTGAAATTTTAAGAGGCAGATGTCTGCCGCTAATTCCCAGGCGGTGTAAGCATAAATCATTAATGATCTGATCAGTTCTTTATGGAGGATTAGGTTACTATTGGCACTTAAGTACTCGCGTTTCAATTGGGACTGGAGTCTAATAAATGTTCTGAAGAACTTTTTTCAAACATTTATATGTGCAATCTCTATCTAGTCCTCTTATCGAAGATGACAAATATTTTACATGATTGCCCAAAGAGATGTTCGACCCATTGAATATAGATGAGCTGAGTATTTTCCTTATTCATTTTTATCTTACAGCGCTCACACCATATCTCAATAGCATTGACTCTTCGCTACAGCTCTCTGAGAACATAAAAGTCTTTGGGTCTGTCGCATATATGCAGGTGTCATCAGCAAAGAGACCGAGATAGACACCAGGTGTCTGGGGCGTACCATTTATAGATAGACTGTACAATGTTGAGGAGAGGATGGAACCTTGTGCACCCTTGCCTCTATATCCCTTGAAGTAGACATTTCATCGTCGACCGAAACTCTGAATTTTCTCTGAGAAAGAAAACAGCTAAAAAGCTTGATTAGACTGATCGAAAAACTTTAATTCAGATGATTTATGCAGCAAGCCAAGGTGCCATGTTGAGTAAAAGGCTTCTTCAATATAAAAGAACACAGCAACCGTAGACATGTTATTGTTGAAATTTAAGGGACGTGGTCCATAAGCCCATACATTGTAGTGTCGTGCTGTGACGGGTACGGAAACCAAACTGGCTTGCACGAAGCAGGCCTCTTTCTTCAGTTTGTCTCTGGACTATTTTTCAGAAAAACTTTCTCGCATATCTTCCTTCTTCCGGACAAGAAGCTAATCGTACATAAATTTTGCGGGAGTTTTGGACTATTTCTGAGTGTCGGTAACGTTATAACTATTGTTTCCTTCCAAGGCTCTAGAAAATTGGACAGCTGAAGTAGGTGATTAAATAAATGTGTCAGATGTACCAGTGGTTTATTTGGAATTTGCCTGAGGCAACCGTTTGGAATATAATTAAGTCCACAAGCCTTTCAAAACTTCAATGTTTTTACTAATTTCTCTGTCACACGACCTTACGTTTTCCGACGGGGTGTCCCCTACAGATGCGAGCAGAATTTGGACTCCAGGCTGTATCCATCGCTCATGGTTTTCGTCAAACAAGTTATGAGATGTGAACTGATTTTCTGCACAACCAGCAATCTCCTTGACTTTCTCTTTCGGGTGATATATTATTCCTAAAGGTCTATGAACAGCGGTTATTGCCTTTGGGCCATCCTTCTACATAAGCGATTTCATGGTAGACCATAGATCTTGAGGTGTGAACTCACAATTCCCAACTTTTGTTTCCCACCGTTCGAATGCCTTTCTGCGAGTGGGACCACTTGGCCCCGACGGCTTTCGCTATTTAGCGTCAGCACAAACTGCATTGAAAACATCTCAACAGTTCCATTGCAGCGGGCCGCTGTTTAGCGATGGCTTGCTTGTTTATCGAGCCGTTCCTATGCAACGGACAAAGTATCAGTAGTCATTTCACAATGGATTTTCCACAGGCATGTCTATTTTTCTAATGATTAATGGGAGGTTAGAGAAAGATGAGAGTGGACATGTAATGTTATGTTCTACGAATGTATTATCCTTACGTCACTGACATGTCAATAAGTCTCAGAAGACCAAAAGCAATGATGAGACTCATTTACTAAATAAAGAAAGATCCTAATGAAATTAACTCCATGGAGCATGTCACTGTGTAAAGGACTACCTGTAGTCGATGTATCTACTAATTAAGTATATATACAGTCGCAGGTCTCAGTATATATAATTACTGTCGTCACATTTATAGAAAATTAATTTCGCCATAGGGAATTTTCGCTTTACGGGTGGTTTCGAAAAATGGCATCCTTTGGCGAAATGAGTAGGCAGCAGACGACATTGTTGCATTGATATTTCTCTCAACGGAAAATGCAAGGAATGCGAATTTGTCTATAAGTCATGTACTTAATTGCAAAATGAAAGCTAACAAACCGTTTAAAGACCTTCCATACCATATAACTAACAAAGACAATATACATACTGACGTTATATATGTAAATACATATATAGTATAGCCCTATGGTATATACTAGGGACTTCACTTATTCACATTCCAATAAAAAAGCTAAAGTTGTCCCCGTGTTTATCTAATTAAGCACTAGGCCATTAAGGCGTATGGGGAGTGGAGGTGAGTGGTCAGCTTCACGTCCCTGCCACTCTACCCCCCGGGGAAGGAGCCCCGGTACCCATTGGATAGGAGGTTGTGTGGACCTCGGAGCCGGTCTAGACAATTTGGAGAAGAGAAAGTTCTTGACCCTACCGGGATTCGAACTGCGACCCCTCAGTCGTCCAGCCCGTAGCCTGGCGCTATACCGACTATGCTACCACTCACATTCAAATAATGCTGAAAAATAGAAAACCTGCGTTTCAAGATATTCTAATTAAAATAAGCATTCGTCATGAAAAGGGAAAGAGCTGACCGAGCTGACGGCAGAGATGCCATGCGGATCACAGATCCACCCAGGGGCAGGATAAACAGTTTTCAGCCTGTGAGCGCAGCGCTCTGTTTGCGAATTTGCGGTGCCATTGCGACTACAGGTTTTGTATACATACGTGTGCATGTGTAAAATTAAGTCAGTATTTATATATCTGGTGGTGCAAAATAAATAAGACTTTTAAGAATATGGTAAAAATAAGAGACTTTACGTATTTGAACGAAATTCTTTTAAGTTTTAAGGAATATAAGGACCTAAATATGAGTATGTATAATTCTGTGGCCTGTAGTCCGCAAGTGAAATATACCGACCGAGCGACCGCCGCTTGTCGGCGAAGTAAGTGCCAACTTTTGCGGATAGAAGGTGTCACGTGGTCAGCGCAACGGATCTCCACGGTCGTTAATCTCGGTTTTCTAGACCGGAGCCTCTATTTCCTTGAAATAGCTCCTCAATTATCCTCATGAGGTTGAGTGGACCCCGTTCTAGACCCACTACTTCTCAGAAAATTGGTAGCACCGGGAATCGAACCAGGGACCTCTGGATCTGTAGCCAGGAACTCTGATCACTAAATCACAGGGGCGTCCTGTGTATATACTAGATTGATTTAGTTCCATTAATTCGTTACAGGAAGATATTTTCCATTTTCGAACGATGAAAACAGAAATGGTTTTACAATCACGTCGGCCGCGTTTGTAAATAGACGGTACTACAGTCCAGTTTTTAGAATCTACAGAATGATCTACAAATTCTTCATATTAATTTCAGTTCTTGGAAGTACCGCAAGAGAGAAATGGAATTTTATGTCATGTGTGTCACAAGACATCCGATCAAGTTTCCACCAAGAAAGGAGGCAGATTCGAGCCAAAATTCATAGAAGAAAATGTGGTTCTCTTTAATATTGATTCAGGTAATCCGAAGATTGAAGGATAACTGTAATGCCTACTTTTGATATTCAAGATGGAAAATATTTAACGAATAAAGAGAGCAAAATAAGCCCTCTTGTACACTCAGGTTTGTTCTATGCATTAGACAAATTTCATTCGAACACTAAAACCGTGAACATTTACAGAATTTTAAAAGCGTTATATTTTTGCTCCACTTACTCCATTGTCAAGGCGGCGCCATAGCTCAAACGGTTAGTCGTTGGCGTCCCACCGCAGCGACCTGGATTCGAGCCCGGGTCTGGTGAAGTGGGAGTTGTGGTGGACAAAGTGGCGCCGGGGTAGGTTTTCTCCGTCTACTTCGGTTTCCCCTGCCAATCTCCATTCCACTAAATTCTCTATCATCATAATCACCCAGAGCAGGTAAATAGGACAATCAGTGGCTGACGTGACGAGTGGACCCAGCTGGACTACACCACCCCATATGCGAATTTTTTAATTATTTACTGTATTGTCACCTGTAAGGGGTACGCGCGATGATAATGACGGATTCTAAATCGGATGAATGTTTTAATTTGTGTTCTTTTACAATTACACAATTACACAATTCAATATTTCAGCTGCCTTCTCTCCGACTGACTGCTTCTCAGTTGCCACTGAACGTATCACACATAACTCTGTTTGGTAACACGATGAATCTTGAGGAGTCT